ACAGACAGACAGACAGACAGACAGACAGACACACAGACACACAGACACAAAACACAGACAGACAGACAGACAGACACACACACAGACACACAGACACACACACACACACAGGTTTTCGTAGTATCCGTCACTCAAAACTAAATAAATAGATGGAACACAGTTATGTAGGCTACTCATTCAGGTTCATTACGAGTTTGTTTAAAATAAAAGTAGGCTAATACATCTCAGTGAGACTCGAATACACTTGACATTAGTAGGTGTTAAAAAGTTTTATTTTAGAATATAATTTGATCGGCAGACCGAAAACAAATTTTATTTTGTTTTAGATTTTTCCTTTTCGTTTTTTTCCCTCAACAAGAAGGAAACGCAGACCAATGGAAACAGTCGAACAATGTCAATTTAAATCAAACAAACTGACACGAACTTTTTTCCATTACTGTTTACCACTACACATTACAATCACAAATCACTTCACTTTCCTTTTAGTCGTTACAAATTTGATAAAATAAGAAAAATATGTGGTCATTTCAAATTATGGCGAGAATAATCTGAGTTCGGATAACCTCCATCCAGCTCTGTGTCTACACAGTCTAGCCAATATCAAAACCAATACATTCGTTTTTACAAATTTTCAATGATGGTCCAGTGAGGTAAACAAATACAAAATGCTGCAATATCTATTATTAAGTACAGTTTCGCAACCTGAAAAGCATAACCCACCTGTGTTTTGATCTCTGTTTATGAACACTGAACGCTCTTGACACACAGACGCAGTCACACAGACACAGTAAATGAACAGAATGTGAAATAGTAAGAGCTCTAACCGTGAGGCCGCATCCATGGGAACATGAGGCTCGGAGAGGAGTTCTGACTTAAGTGGCCTTGTCCTTCTCCAGGGTTAGTGCTATTGGACGATTTACAGTCTGGGTATTGCGCTAAGCTGGCCTCTTGCTGGGTACCATAAAGCGATTGCCTCGGAAGAGCTTCATATCCATAAAATTTCGTAGCGTCTCCGTGACATGCCAATGCACAAGGGTTCTGTTGATAGGCGGGGTTGGAGATACCTGTGGTTCCGTGATGGAAAAAGTCCTGTACGTGATGCGACGGGTGTTGAAAACCCGGCGCAGCTGCTCCATGTCCGTATACAAGCGTGTGGCTTCGGGCAACGCTCTGTGGAAACCTGCAGTCGTAGTAAGTTGGCTCTAATGTTTCGCCGCCTTTGTACTTGGAAAAAAGAGGGTTAACAAAATAAGAGCTCATGTTTATCTTGCATTAAAAAGAGTCAGTCTGTTTGAAAAACAAAAATAATTTCCCCTCCCTAGATGTTGGCAACCTATTGTTGCAGTTCCAAATGGCATGCAACGCAGACAGAGCAACCGGAACTAGATGGAGAAATGCTGCCCCTTCGGACAATCTGAGGCAGCTCCCACTTCAGCTCCACTCGCTTAGTCTCTCTCTCTCTCTTCCTATCGCCAGCCTTTTCCTTTTGCAGCCTCAAATCATGGCGTGCACGGTGGATGTGTGTTAAGGTTAAAGCTGGCTAGCTCCGACGGCTCAGTCACAAGCTCGTACTTTTTTTTGCCTCCCACCAGCCACCCCCACTACAATGAGACCCCCCACCCCTTGTCCCCATTCACCCCACCCTTTGGCTCCTCATCTTTCCAGAGCGTCCACAGGCGTCTACCTTGAAAGGGGAAACACAGTTGTCTGTGTGTGTTTTTTTTTATTTTTATTATCATTGAATAGCATCGGCTGCACGTATTTAATGAAGCAATCATTTAAGTTTTTAATGTCTGCTTTAGAACATTAACCGCAAGTTGCGGCGCCTTCATACTGGTCGTACTGGTCATTTTAGACCTGCGGTCACGTTGAAACAATTTGTCTGGTATTTCATTTATGATAGAACTAGGTATCATTTCTTTTTAAAGACCATGTATACGCTCCGACCATTACACATCCATTCTGAAGGGTTCATAAGGTAGTGTATCGGGCCATAACCCACAGGGTCAACATTAGGCTACTCAAGTTTACGAACATTACGAAGAAACGGCTACAACGATTGACACAACATACCGGCTAACTAAACACAAATTACAATAATAATGCCAATGGAAAATATGTAACATTTTAAGCCTATTATTATTTAATATTATTTATTATTGCTGCCGCCGCCGCTGCTGCTATTATTAAAGTTGTGACAATTAATTGTGACGCCTACTTTGATTATTTGTGTTAGACTGCTAACAAACACACACACAGAGAAAAGCTGAACACGCAAGCCTCTCTTGGCCCTCCTAAACCATACTAAAAAGTTGTAAATCTGCCGCACTGACCCAATAAAATTGCGCAATAGATGCCTCGTTATTTTACTAGACACATTAATGGCGTGTTGTTTATTTCAGCTTTGCTCATTTAAAGTCCTTCCCAAAATATGAGCATGTGGTTTTGTGTCGTTACTTGACAATTTTTACACTTCGTTGTTAAACGGGAAAGGCACACACAGGAAATTTATAGACATCTCACAGTCTATAAAGATGCAGATTCTGGGTCATTGTCTCAGTTACAGGAACATAGCTACCATGGAGTAGGCCTATTTATTTTTTTGCAACGAAAAAAAAAGTAATAAAACAGTAATTGGGTAAATAATTTTATTCAATTAAAAAAACGAATGCGTTTTAGTTATTGATACAATTATTTTAATAATCGATATTATTATTGTTGTTATTAGATTTTGTTTTTATAACAATAATTTATTTACGAATTTAAGTATGTTTCACACTGTTGTCTAAAAGGGACAATTAAACTAAAATTTAAAGGCCCTGATTAAAAATCAATGTCATCTTTAAAACATCAAATATGGGAGTGTTGTACGCTAGTCAAACCAGTGGCACAGACTAACATGCTTTCAAAAATAAAAACGGTATCCAAAATAAGTAAATAAATAAAAAGCATACCCTGCGACATTTGTAAACAAGATCTCGTATGAGACAAAATGTTACGAGTTCCCAGCGCCCTCAATAAATTATGTCAGCTATATAGGCTACTGAAGCATTAAAACCGACACGGTGCTTTCTAAAAGCATCTTCGGATTTTGACAAAACAAAAGAAAGACGGAGGAGTGTGAAAAGCATCATAGCATCAACATTCGAGACATAAAAACTACATAAAAAAAAATAATAAAGCAAACAATTGTTTCAAGAATATGATAAAGATGGTGTGACTGTAAAGTTTATTACTTTAGCGTGTCGACATTTGTTTTTTTTTTAAGCCAAAATTGTGATTAATAACAGAGAAGACCATTCTTTCAGCACTCTTCTTGTAGCACACTCCCAGGCTTTAGCGGCCCAAAATGCGCTAACTGTGAGTCAATAGCGCCATCTAGTGTGCTTGGGGGTAACTTTTACAAATAATCATTGACTGGAGGCCAAGGCCACAAAATTCGTACCGCAAAACAGTTATCCAAATAAATTAGGACAATGACAGAAAGCCTATTTGAATGCACCTTTATATGAAACTTTGGACTGTGAAAACACATAAGACTTTTAGCAGTACCGAATACATGATTTAAAGGTTGCAGCACCATTATGGACACTGTAAATTAGCTTTACAAGCATGTGTTAAGTGAAAACTAATCTCTTTCGGTTTAGCGCCGTTTAAAGTCTTGGAGTGACTTCTGAATGGATCTTGTGGTGTTGGTGGATTGCTTTTGCCTCTAGTTAGCCCAAAGGACTAAATGGCTTTGCAGAGCTCTTTGAGAGGGTCCACCACCAACGTCCATTAAACCATAAAGTAATTTAGCCCAGACGTCTAGCCAGTTAGCCAGGTTGGCTTTGTTCGTCTGCATCCGAGACAAACAACACCAAGCTCCAACAGGGTTGTAAAACTAGCATTTTTGTTCTGGGGCGGAAACGTGGTCGATCGGGCTTTTTGAAATAGCCGCATCCTGTTCGTATTGTTAAGGCCCACAAAAAGGCAATTTCAACCCAGCATAAGGCTAGTGCTAAACATATGAACTTTAATTATATCTATTACACAGATGCTACTCGTATATAAATAAGTGCAAAATATTAACATCAGACGATTTTACAATTACGCATGTTGCAGTTATCGTGGTGACTTGAAGAGTTTAGTCATACATAAAAAAAAAAAAACACAGGCCTCTTTAAAATAATTTAAGTTCAAACACGCGGATCCTACATGGCCTTCAAACCTCTTTCATTTTACTAAGCCCTCGGTCTAATTAAAGCAAGCCATTGTTGTTGTAGTTAATGTTTTTGATTTATTTTGAATTTATTTATTTGCTCAAGGTTGTTGACATTTCTGTAAAACATTTATGTATTTTGTGGCTCTGACATATCGGTTCCACAGATTTAAACAGCGGTTTACTGGCTACTTTTTTTCATTTGAAAAGTTGTCATATTAATTAAACTACAATGACAAACAACAGTAATAATTATCTATTTATGTGTTGTATTTAAATGTCAAAATAAAATAAAATCGAATTTAAAATGAGGAAAAAGGGTTTCAGTGCTTGGAAACTGGCTTGCAATTAAATACCAAAAGAAGTCAATAAATAAGGCATGGGAGTGAATGAGGCCTACCACAGGCGTTTCGGTATTTGATCTTTGTGGGATGTGCAAATTCGATATTTCGACGGTCACACTAACAACCTCTTTACAATGGCCTTGCCATCGTACACTTACTTCAACCTCGATACTTTCCACATGAGAACATTGTATGTGTAGGCCAAACACTATGCTATAACTGGATAGCACACATTTAACTCGTTCTTGAAAACTGCATGCCTTGTGCGGTCAAATAAATGGAATGAGACACAAAAGTCATATTAACATGGTTGTATATATTTGGATATATCTACAATCTATGATGAAACTCATTTACAGTTTAAAGAATGTAAAATACACAAACAGGTACATCAGAAACAAACTAAGCACATCGACGCAAACACGTATATGTTTTTAACTACAGAATTGTTATTCTTTATAAAATATTCGGCTTTCAAACCTCCTACATATAATGGAAGCATATAGAAAAGAAACAACCACGTAGAGAGCATAAATTAGGAATTTGAAAAAAAAGTATTTCAAGTATGTTCTCGCTGAAACTTCGGGGCAGCCTCTCTGCAGAGTCCACTTTTGTATTTGTGAGTAAAGAAATGTTATGTAAATCCAAACTACGTATAGTATTAATATGACTTACGTCAGGATGGTAAAATTACACTTACATTAAATCATACTTATATCATAACGTTTTGAAGGACATCCATATAGGATAGCCTTTTCGTTTTCTCTGTTCCTGTTATGGGCCGGAGGTGCAAATGTTATGTCAGTCTTTTTCTGATGAGTGACTTTTGGTCTATTGTTCTTTACTGTCGTTTTTTTCTTTGTTCATTTTCTTCATCTTCATCCGTCGGTTCTGGAACCAGATTTTGACTTGTCGCTCCGTCAGATTCAGCACCCTTGCTACCTCATATCGCCGGTCTCTTGTGAGGTACATATTGAATAAAAATTCCTTTTCGAGTTCGAGTGTTTGATACTTGGTGTATGGACAACGCTTCTTTCGAGTTGAGCGCGCATGGATCCAGTTTGCCACAGGATTATCTGAAAAACAATGTATAAAAAGTGTGATTAGGTGCTGCTGTAAACAAACACGCTATCCAAAATAGACGAATGTCGCATTTTACTGGATTATAGATCCAAGTTTTTTCTTTCTTGCTTATGACAGCCGGACAGCCATGTGTATAAAGCTGTATATTTTTTTCAATTGTAGCACCTAACAACACTTCTCATTTTTGATTAGTCTTCAATTAAATGTGCAGGCTTAATACGTGTAAATACCAGGTAATGTCATAGGAGGTCCCCCTATCTCTGTCTATTTCAAATAGCTTTGCAAACTCTTAGAGAGAAATGGCGCTGTAAACTGGTGAATGTACCTATTTGCTTTATAGGCCCATAAAAAAGCAAAGGCTTGTGACTCAAGCCTTCACAAGTCTACGCTCAAAGTTCTGCTATGCAGTGAATGCACTGTGAACATTCCACGTGCTGTTTTTAATGTAAATGCTATGTTTCATTAATATGTAAAAAAAATATTTAATTGAACAGTTCAAAACAACAGCTCCCGGTTTTTATATTTTTAATTTGACACTTCAGTAGTTATGTTATAATACAGTCCACGACAAGTAGCCTATAATTCAAAAGCAATTTAGTATTTATAGGTTATAATAAAATAGATCACACTTGAAACCTAAATTTATCTATGTAAATACATAATTTGAAATGTTAATAGGCATCCTCGCTTTACAACCGCATGTATTGCTACTGAGCCAAAGGCAGACTAAATTTATAAATTTGCACATTAAATAAAGCACAGTAATATAAGTATATCGTACAAAAAATTAATGATAATGGTACGGCTATTTGTAAACATCACATGCAACCTTCTTTGCCAGACTTGGCTTTTTAGGAGACCATTTTTATAGCTCACACCCGTTTTACAACCCAATCCTATGGCGTTTGTCATCAATGGATAGCCCCAAAGCAGACTTGAGTCGGCCGAGAACAGCACAGAGGATGAAAGGGTATAGAACTTGGTTTTACGACGGACAACAACCAACCACCAAGCGAACGCAATAAACTGGGAAGCATCCCATTCTCGGTTGTAAACAAGAATAGCTCTAACTTACTTGGGTCTAATTCAGGCTTGTCGTCTTTGTGCTTCCCGGAAGACAAACTCTCAGTCTCAGGCGATGGTGTGTTCTGCTGCTTTTCTCGAATGTCGACGGCGGAGCAGTAGAGATAATCCGTGTAAGTGCGTCCGTTCGAGCCCAAACAGTCTCCAGCACGGGGATCCTGGAAGGTGTCGGGCTTCAGCCCGTAGTGCCTGCTATTCCCTGCGTATCCTGGAAAAGACACGGTACCGGGGATAGGCTCCAGCCAAGAGCGAACGTACCTTGAGTCTGTGCCTAGGTGAGGTTGGTGAGTGTATGGATGGTAAACCACTGACGACTGGGAGTGAACAGGGGCCCACGAGGTAGTAAAGACTGGTGGTTTCGGGGCAAAGCTGCAAGACGGGTAATCCGCGCATTCCGGTACCAGGGGCGTCGGGCGTGAGCTGGAGGATATCGGACCAGTGGCTGTGAAACGACTCGCCAGAACATCCTCGCTCTCATGGTTGATCAAGGAATCCACATAATAATTACTTATGGGACCCGTAGCCGACATGGCGATGTTTCCCTTCTATTTTACATGCATCCGATTATTATATGGAGTGTATGTGTACTTTTTTATCTGACCGTAGAACAATCAAGACAGGTAATTATTTCAGAAAGCTTCCCCAGCTGGGATTGGACGCCTATGGAACACGTGATTGCATTTACCCCCTGAAAAACTGCACAGTAGATCAATGCGCGCGTTCTCCTGGAACAGCAATGCACTTCGAGCTTGCAGTAGGTAGCTTAATACTAATGTTGTCTTTTTTTTTTGCATCGAGCCTAAATATATGAAGATGGTGTGTTTCTAGTATACTGTGATGCAACTGATTAAGGTAAATAGTTATTTGTAGCCTTACGAAGCAGCAGAGTGTGTGTGTTAACGGTCTTAAAAAGGGCACTATTTGTTGGTGTAATCAATCTCTGTCGAGAGAATGCTACTGTGCTGTGGCTAGCCTTGTGCGCATCCCTCACGGCACAATGTTATTTATTAAAACAATTAGAAAAAAGAAAATGTAGTATATTTCTTTCTCAGTTTCACTATTAATTCTATATAATTGGAAAGGACGCAATGGAATAATTTTGACAAATATACGGCTCTTGTGTTGTCTAGAGGGTTGCTTTTACGCACTAAAGACCTGTTTTCCACGAGTTTCAAATAAATACAATTGGGATAACCCTCATAAAATGGAGTTTTAAACAAATCGGGGCGGTGGGAATAGTAAGACGCCTGAAAACGCACCACAACTGCGGCTATATTCGTCAAGTGGTCGTGCATGCTTTTATGTCCTTCAATAAATTTTTACGAGGACCATTTGATTGTTCATAAACGTGTCGTTAATAAAACTGCAGTTGAGTTCCTGATATAACATAAAACCAACACGCTTGTGAAAGACGTCTCATCAAACCTTTGTCGAATATACTAAAAAACAGACGAGTGACTGTTCACATAGCTCTTTAAATTGTGAGATAAAGCTAGGAAAAGGCGTTGTTAGCTTGATCAATTTTACTGCGATATTTTTGAAAAGGCATCTGCATAACACAATCTACACAAGTTTTGTAAATTCTTTGTACTTCCCGTTCCTTTTCATTTTCTTTTCTTTTTTTTAATGTAATTAGCCATTTTTGCGATTCTATCGAACTTAATTCCAGTTGTTGTAATACGAGACAAATAGTCTTGTTAACTGAAAATAAAATTATATACTAAAACTAAACATAAAACTATGTGAAATATTTGTGAGTGTAAATGTTTAGTTTCGTTTGGTTTCTTAATTTTGAATTATTAATACTGGCTCACACATAAACAGAAAAAAATTATCCTACAGATCTATTAAATAGGCTAATTTAACGCCATGCCGTTGTATAAAAATGACACCGCTTGAACATTTTTTCAGTTAATATGTGACTCACTGTATTTTAGATTAAATTTTTATTCTAAGCGTATTGCGACACTTGGAAATATGTTGATTTTGGTCTGCAGTCATTGTCAGTGTTAGGCCCAGTATGAAGCCGGCCACATGAGGTCAGGCTTTTTTTTCCGTCCTGTTTTCTGTGGGAACACCAGACATTATCAAAATATACACACCAAATAACAATACGTGGGCAATTCGGACTCTTAATATTACTTTTGTGCGGCAAAAAAGTTATTAAAACGGTTACAATGTTATATTAGTTCAATAGTTTACAGAGACTCGACTCAAAGTAATTAGTGCCATTATGCCTCTCTTTTCAGTTGTAAAACAGCTTGTTACAGAGCTAATTAAAGTTTTTGATTCAGCAAAACAACTAAAAGCAAAAGGAAGCAAAGGACACTATATTTGTACTTTTATGCCGTTTCATTAACTCATGCGTTTTAAAGGAAGGCGTGGCAGCTTTTTGATTGTGGCGTGGATTTGATTTCTCCTTGTAATATACCACGGAATCAATATCATTTAGATTCTCTGAACAAAAGTGAAAACAAAATCTCCTCACAGTATAAATAATTGAAAGCTTTGGTGGGAGGCTGTGGCATATTCAGGGGATCAATGCATCTAATCAAATTGTTAGAATAACTGTGACATATACAGAACAAACATGTATAAAGTGTTTAATGTTACACATTCCTCCAGCAACATTTGTAAATAACTGTAACACATACAAAAACATAGGCTAAGTGCAGCTAAAGAGCATTTATCTATGTTTTTCCGAGGGCGTGGTACCTTGATGCTAAAGTTGTTTCCATCGTCACTGTTTTTCACTTACGTTTATTTATTAATTTTAATTTTTTTTCTTATTATTGTGTTCTAATGTTGTTAACGTTAACATGATGCTAACATGATGCATGTACAAATGCAATTTGTTTGATGATATAATGTTGTTTTGAAATGAACGATTTTTTATGAAAATAAAAAAACTGTGTTTAATTGTTTGATGAGTGTCTTTGAAACTTCTAACTAAAATTGTAATCTTTGTCCAGCCTCATTTAAAATTTCAGTTTTGTGTGCTATAAAATTAACTATAAAGAGATTAAAATTAATTCGGTGACTAACAAGGATATTTTTCACACCTGATATAAATTTTATAGATAGAATACCAATTTTGTTACGCTCTGTCCCTCGAACAGGGGAGATATAATTTATAATTCGCTATGTGGTCGCATTCATTTATAGGATAACGAGCTTGTGCTTAAACTGTACAAATCTGTGGAATATAGTATTCGCTGCAGTCTTGGCAGTTAAGCTGTGCAGGGTGACTCAGGATAAAAATGAGACTGCGGTGCACACTGCACATTTACGAGTGCACTAGTGAGCTCACTGATCTGTCCATCCCAAAATTTAGCTTTTAGAACATCACACGGTTTATACACATTAGCCTATAACATACTTTTTTTTTTAATAAGATACAGAGATTTACATGTACGTATCATATCTAAAACACAGCACTTTCATGTGTGGCTAAAATACAGCAAATTTCTTGTATATATACGGTACAAGAAGCTGCTTATTCGCCTATGATCCCACTAATGCATTTCGTAGTCTCGTGTAACTATAATAAACAATGGAGTTTTATATTGTAGCTACACATACCTTTTTTCTTGTATTAGCATAATTGAATCCTTCAAATGGGTTTTAAGTTGTCATTAAGAAACATCAGAGTACTTTCCATTCTGAGACAACAACAGCATGGCAGTATCATTGCTAATGCACTTTGATTTACGGGAATACATCAACATTAATCTCCAGCGTCTGTTATATAAAGTTAGGCTACTCTTTGATCGACTTCAGTATTTGCTTTAATACTGATGTTTATAGCAAAAAAAAAAAAACACAAGGAGCAGGTTAAAATGAATATTTTCTTCAATATTTTATTATTATTTTTTTTTATTTCAAGCAATAGTATTTTTATTTATTTATTTATTTTTGCTTTGAAGTATAATGAGGAATGCTTACATCTTGCAGTATACCTAGACCCATTTTACTAGCGCCACTGCGCCTAAAAAGACAATACGGTGTTAAAAGACAGATGTCGTACGTGTATCAATCCAGAATATTGGACTCCAAAATCATTCCACAATTTCATTATGTTATGTGTTAAAAATATAAGATCCTGTACTAGTACTACGTTTTATATTTTACTGTACTTTAAGAAAAATAGCTTTCAGTGTGCCATGGTCAACATGAACATAATAATGCTCTATACCAGGGGTGGCGAACGTCGGTCCTGAAGAGCCGCAGCCCTGCAGAGTTTTGCTTCAACCCTAATCAAACACACCTGAACAAGCTAATCAAGGTCTGAAGGGTTACTAGAAAGCTACAGGCAGGTGAGTTTTAATTAGGGTTGGAGCTGTACTCTGCAGGGCTGCGGCTCTTCAGGACCGGAGTTCGCCACTGCTGCTCTATACCGTTTCCTTTAATGCATTCTGCTGAATATATAGTAAATTAAAACAAACATTTCTGTTTTTAGCAAATTTGTAATGTTGATGTCATATCTTTCATTAAAAGTAACGATATAAATATGTTGTGTTTTTTAGTATTTTGTGCTTAGATGTCTTTGTAGCCTATTTCTTTACGGAGAGAACAAAAAATGTTCAGAGTTCAATTATATTGTTATAACAACTGGTAGACAGTCTCATATTACAGCATCATATTATTGCTTGTGGCCTTGGGCGACATAAACAGAAATACAGCAACAGCGCAAAGGTTCAACCTTTCACACAAGTAAGCTGAATTAATACACTCTAAAAAATGCTGGGTTGTTTCAACCCAACTTTGGGTCAAATATGGACTAACCCAACTTTTGGGTTAAAACTTTAATTCAAAAATGTAACCCAACAGCTGGGTTAGTCCATATTTGACCCAACGTTGGGTTGAATCAACCCAGCATTTTTTAGAGTGTATAGCCTAATCAGTTAGCCTACTTGTCAAATCAAAGTAAAGACACCAGCTAAGATAAACAAAAAACAATAATACTATTACATTCAATTCATACATGGTGTTGAAAAGCAGCACTGAACAGATAACCGAGTAAAAAACCTCTATAGCAAAGTAACTTGCTTTAGATAAGAAACCCTTTTCATTTAGGTCTAGCTGCAATCAAACTTAGTTCCATACAAATGCGTAAACTAAATTCAGTTTAAATGGAGAGATTATATAGCTACATAACAAAACGTGATTAATCTGAAAAGTGCTAATAAATAAAATAACCACGTGTGCTAAAATTGACTTCAGGTTTGTTCACTAAAAATACAAAGTAAAATAGTGAAGCAAAAGAGCTGATATTAAAGCACAACGTAAAAAAAAATCTTGCCAAATCTAAAGTCTAATTATCCTCATTCAAAGCCACTGAAAACTAACCAGCAATGATAATCTGTGTTAAATTCTCGTCCAGTGTCTGATAGTAAACATCTTTTCAAATGCTTACATATAAAGGTCTGCACCAAATAGGCCATTGCTAATGCTACTACAGATATGCCTAATGCGCCACACGTTTGGAAATAGTACTCTATACTTCCGAACGCAAGCAATCATTTCAATTTATTTTATATATATACTAAGCAGAAGAAGGTGTTTTGATGTCCACCAATCCTTAGGCTATTTGAGGATATTGCCGCTATATCCGCATGCTAGGCGGCAGTGTCCTGTGGGGCTATTACGCGTGCTGTAAACTCTTTGTTGGTGACGCATTCCAGAGGAGAACCCCATTCACTCAACTGAATGAAAATGACTTTGGATTCCAGACTGTCTCCTCCCGTCGCAAAACAGCTGAAGGGAGGGGAGGGGTTAAGAAAACAAGCATATATGGTGAAATCCAAAGACTACTCTCCCATGAAAAAAAAGACGAAGTCGCTGATGAGGCCCTTTACAACAAACAACTTTACCAATAACATTACCTTAACTAAATTAGCTTATTATTTCCACATATTATACAGCTGATATGGCTTTAGAATGTACTGTTGTCTCTTTACTACTGTACAGTGTATAATATAACGTCATAGCACAAATTCCCGCTTATTAATGTGGGGTAACCCCAAACCCACACATCTAGACTGATTTATAATAAATAAATATATATATATTTAGAAATATTTAACTTAAAAAAATCTGAAGACACGTTCCGCAATGCACCTAACTAATCAACAAACAAATTAAACAAAATAAACAAAGGCACTATAACTATAGAATAAACATATTGTTCCTTATCTCTGCTTTTCTGTATAAGTATACACTAAAAGGTATTGCTAATTAATAAATGTAAGTGTAGAAAGGATTGTAGAACTTAGAATAGTTTAACATGCTGAGTAGAAATTGCAGAAAAAAGTGTGTATATAAAATCATCTAAAGCTAAATCGACATTATTATGTTGATATGCAAAATAGTATATAGAATAGATATACATTAGGTTACACTAACGAATTTTTTAAGGTCTGATCTCCCCGAGGAAGCCACACAGGTTCACTGTTTATAGTGTACAGAAGCTACAGGTCAAACATTGTCTGCCATGGATACTAGCCACAGTAAGTCTGTTGTGGCAAAGCTTTTTAATGTGGTTTTGCATGTGCTGTTACTACTAACCACTGCTACTGTTCATGTTGCTGTTATGCAAATATAAGTAGTGTTTAAACGGCCTTTTACAAATGCAGTTTTACTATTTGAGCCTGGCCGTTTACAGGTTAAAAAGTGTGTGGTTGGCCCACATGAAAAAGTAGCGTAGCACTTCAAAATAAAATATGAAGAGTTTAATTTTGTATTTGTTAGGACAGGGTTCTAAGAGTAGCCTACAACATCAAAGCCAGACAAGATTAATCAAACTTGTAAAGGTGTTTCGTCTCATACACACGCAATCGCATATGGAACTGACTGATGTGGAAAGAATAAATTAATAGCTGATTAATTTTCAATTGATATAGATATATATATAGATATATATATTCTGTTTTCATAACTGTCCGTCAGTCCATCATTTTTCTTGTTTTTTTTTAGAAACTGCAATTTCTTGCTACCACCTCAGTCACTATCATTTCTAATTTTTAAAAAAGTGGCTAAAACACTGGAATAAAAGAATGAGCCATAATAAGGAACGGGCTAAGTTTGCCCCATGATGTTAACAGTCCTTTCTCCCTCTGAGAGTCTAAATTCTCTTTTACAGCCCGACACATAAAGGCGAGCAAAGGAGAAAAAGAGCCCGCTGTGGCTATAATCGGTCAGTTCATTTACAATGCCATTTGCGGAAACTTCATTGCACAGGGTGTAATTTAACGGCAATTGTCGCCCTTGATGAAGACGAACTGACGTAATCAAGGCAGTTTCTTGTTGTCGAGCCAGGAAGCCAATCCCAACAACATGAAACTACCTAAACCACGCACCAGCCGCGCGTAACGGCGTTATCCACAGGAGGAGACAAACAGCAAACTCTGCACAGATAAGTAAGGATTTTACTCCATTCCTCAGAGCCTCGAGCGGTAATTTAATCAAACATCGTGTGTGATAGTTCTATTATAATAGATAGATAGTTCTGCTATGCCTGAAAGGCCATAGCTTTGGGTAGCCTAGTTTCGGAAATTGCACCAAATTGAACACCAATTGACACTTCTATCAACCAGCATTGCTATTTCCAACACAAAAATGTCTACGATTCAGAGAGACACACTGCCAAATTAGTAGCATGCAAATGAGTACAGACCTTCAACAAGAACGACAGTCAAACGTGTTTTCTGTGGCTTTTTGCAGACCAGGAAAGTGATCAAATTAAAAATTAAATTGTAGTAAAAAGAGAATAACTGTCCTACAGTGGGACTGCAAATAGCTGATGTTTATTTATAACATGTCAGTGTAAGTAGATCTCCACAACTTTAACTTGGAAGATGGGGCGCAATTACGACAAAAACACTCTCTTATCGACAACTGTCAGAAGCACTGAGAGCAAAGTCCACATCTCAAGAAATTCGTTCAAATCAAAGCTGTTATCCATGTCAGCGCTTGAGGGTATCCAGAATAGCCTCCCTCGAGCTCAATCGATCAAAAATAAGGAAAACGTTATCCTACCTTGAACGTTCTGCACACGGTCTGATTAACGTAGCTCATAGGATCCACTTATTCATTCACTGCCGCTGTAGGTCTTTCATTCTTCCGTGTTCAGTCCATCGTATCATAGCGTTCCATTACTCCATAAAGAAAGGTTCCTGGTTCCAAAACAGCCAGGCAGACCGCAGAGCGCGTCAGTGAGGCCAGCACATTGCAGTTCCGAGTATGTGAATTAGCCCTCCTCCACTCACCTTTTAATGCATCTTTACTGCAGCAGCACATTATATTTGCAGATCATAAAATCCACCCCCAGCGCTTTCCAGGACCGTCAAGACATTACAATTTTATGACCTTGACTTACTGTGGTCACCTGGATAATATTTAAATCAACGTTATGGGTCTCCCACTCATACTGAAAGTGCTATGCACTTTCTCCTTCTGCCTCTCTTCACCCAAAACAGGAGAAAATATGCAAGGGGAAGGACATACCAGGACATTATATTTTCCCACCCCCTGTTTTATTTATCAGCCTCTCGAGTTAAACATCAAATTGACAAATACACGTCAAAGAACAAAGCATGCAAAATACAGAGCGCGCATTGTAGGACAAGCGCACTGACAGCAAACAAACTAATCTAAGACATCGAATGGACATCTCGTTCATATATTCTGAGTTAAGTTTTTTAAAATTACAAATCTGCCACGAATATTTGCACCAAGCATCCTTTTCCTACTCTACTGGCATAATTACAATTACTATTCTGATCTGTTCAACAATGATAAATTAGGTTCGGATGTAAACTGGATATTGTTTGCAGGATCTTTCAGTCCCTTTGCATTAAAAGTCATGGGCCAGTGCTTTGCTGTTCTGTATTTGTATGTGTGCGTGTGTCTGTGAATGCAAAAGGAAAAATCTGAAAAAATAGAGATTAAATAATAGAGAGGGGCTGAACGTGGGAAACGCGAGAAAGCATGTAATTTCTTATTTCTTCCTTTGTCTGTCTTAAGCGCTCAGTTGAAACTATAGCCGGTTAGCTCTCGGACGCGACTTTCTCTGTTGAGCTTCTTTAGCTTCATCCTTCTGTTTTGGAACCAGATCTTGACCTGTCTGTCTGTGAGGTTGATACTCTTGCTGATCTCCAGACGGCGCTCTCGAGTCAAGTACATGTTGAACAAGAACTCCTTCTCTAGCTCAAGTGTCTGATGCTTTGTGTAAGGACATCTCTTCTTTCGTCCACTTTTCGCTTTTAGCCAGTTCCCCGTGTTTTTTTCCAATTTAGCCTCATCTACAGAAGTAAACAAGAGAGAGAAAAAACTGTTATACCGGAGTATGATTGCAAGATAGAACTGACTGTGACGCTACAAATGCTCGCTTGACTAAATTTAGTTTCTTCCCCACAAAATATTCATATACTTTTTTTTGGTCATCAGAATAAACATTATGTCGAATTTATTGCACTTAAGAGTCTACAGTTTATGATCTAACGGTTTAATTTAAAAATGGCCTTATTCTTAGCAATATCAAAGCTATGCAGTGATGCCGATTCCCCCATTTTGCTCATTTAACATCTGATATTTTCTTTTACGAATGTTCAATTATTATCTGTACATTGTTGTACTTAAAAAAAAATAAATTTCCGTCCAGTTTCACAATTTTAATTGTTTGATTTTAGTCTCTATTGGTCATCGGCCTGGAATTGCTTTTAATTGAAACGTCATCTACCAAAACGGTAGATTTTCTTAAACTAAATAATGATTAATATGCAAATTACATAAAGTCATATAAAACATTTATTTTCATGTTTGGCTACTTTGTCATGTTAAATTAACAAAAAATCAGCCAAGACTTCAAAACAAAAGACGCAACTGTTTCAGATGAAACAACTTATGTGTTAATACTGCAGATTTCATAAAATTTCATACTTAGCCTACCTAACATGTTAAAAACGGGAATTAAACAAGAAAATGAAATAAGAATTATACATTTTAAAAGACAGAATGTAACTACTTGTGTGAGAATAATAGGGCTTAGTAAGCTAAATAAAGACGTCAGAATTGTTTGTCGTATCCCTCAGTTATATCAGTTACACATTTAGTAAACCACAGGTATTTATTTAATTGTTTTAGGACCACACACTGATTTCAAATTTCCTTTATGAGATTTGAATGGAATGGTTTACATTTTATAACGACAGATTACAAAAACAATATTACAATATAAGCGCAAAAATGCCTTGTTAATTAAATGTTTTAAATATTTTAAATAAACTTTATTTATTTAAACGCCAACTGTTTTTTTTTCGTTCAATGTCTACAAAATTCTATACAAATATTTACTAATACCATCAAGTAATTATGCAAACTAATGGAATTTCTAATTCTTAATTTAAACCTGTATGAAAAAAATAAACAAAACAAAATACTTTGAATTACATACATTTACATGCATTTGTGCGGGGGATGCGGTGAAGACGTCATTTTTATTTCCCTACACTATTGCGGGTATAACTGAATGTGCCTGTAAACAACCAACTGGAGTGCAATAAAAAAAATCTAATTTAATAGAATTTAACGGATTAGCGTGTACTGTTTTGTTTTGTTATGCTTGCGTGGATGTGTAAAAGCGCACTTTAACACAGGGTGTTAATCCTAAAGTGATCCTGTTTATATCAGTGCCAAGACCTATTTTTATTTTGGCAACGGTGTTAAACGCCGTTTCAATTTTAAGTAGTCCTGATATTGTTTAACTGACTGCTGTTCTGTAAAAACAGACGAACAACCCATGTGGGCCTGTAAGACATAATTATGATGCACACAGGGCCCGAACAATCGTCGGTGCAGCAAGCTAAAAGGTCTTCTATTTTGACGTGCAACTTGGTTGTCATTTCACATGTTGTTGCCTGCATAGAAGGGAGCGCGCTGTTATTGTGTGTGTGTGTAGTAGTCGAGGGAGAGAGAGAGAAGGAATTAGTTATCACCTTTCAATTCGCTCTCGGAATCATCAGTACAACTGTCTGTTTTTGAGACACTCTCCTCTTTTCTAGTCTGTCTCTGATCCATGTCGTCTTCCTGCGTATTCCCTCCCTTGTCTTCTGGGTCCTGCCTTGCTTTGCTGCTTTTGACATAGGAATCTGCAGCTAGTGCTTCAACAGGCGTGGATATTCTGGCTATTGGGTTAAAGTCCGAGCCGAACTCATCTCCATGGTGGCCCCTTTCACTGGCGTACACCTGGCTCCGTCGGAAATAATCGGGGGTGGAGACGGCGCTTTGATTCGGGTGGCTGTTATTGTCTCCCAGACGGATGTAGGTGGATTTCTCGGCGGACTCCTTAGCGCTGTCGATATCAGGCTGGTAAAGACAAGAAATTGCTTCCTCTTTCACATTACTGGCTGGAAACGAGCATGGGTGCAAAGGCTGGGCAACAGGTTTTGAGCCTCTGTAAGTTTTAGAGCCTGCGATCCAAGTGTCCCGCTGCGACAGGTAATGTGAGTGCTGGTAACTGCTGAGATGCATCCCAGTCGGTTGCAGATCATCCCGCTTGGAGAGAGGGGTACCAACAATGCCAAAACTACCCATCATGGAGCAACCATATTCTGCAGACGTTTGCATATACATTCCGGAGTTAGTGGAATAGCTCTCACCTCTGTAAGGAGACGTTCCTCCCACCAGCGAGTCCATCAGGAATGTGTTGGCTGCCACGTTGTTCGAGCATGACATTTTGCTACTTGACTTGTTTTTCTTTTGATTCAAAACAATCTCCTTTATGCCGAAGTGGATAAGGACAGTAGGACGCTGACATCTTTTGGGGGGGCGAAAAATATCAGCAACATAATTATGGATTCAAGGCGCTTTGTCATGTGATTTTCAGACCAATAGGGTTTTGTAAGTGGCCTTGATGCGCCAGACCGTCTTGACGTCACTGGGGTCAAGTTGTTGAATTTATGTGGTACAGCATGGAGCAATGGCGCCATCTAGCCGATTTTTACGGACAAGGAAAGCAACAACAGAACAAAGAACAATCGCTGTCTTCAGATATAGCCTACAGTTACGTGGCTTATGCGTCTGCAAAAGAAAGAGAGAGGCAAGTAAATTAAACACTTCATGGAAATTAAAGAAATGTATTACAAAGTTAATCAAAATAAAGAATGGGTAATACTATACACTTTTATAAGAATACATGTAGGCTCTGTTTTTAAAGCGGACATGCATTTTTATAGAATAGGGACGATGTTGACACATTCTAGTCTATTTTCCTCTCACGACACACTATTTAATCCGTTTTTAGTTAATATCGCTCTATTGCAAATTCCATTAGGTGGATTAATTACAAATGTTTATATTCAATATATTATACATTGCTGATTTGCTTTCTTTTTCTTTGTAAAATGAGATTATTATGTATTATGTTTTTCCTATCTTTTTCTGCATAATAAACTGGCGTGCTGGATTTTTTAAATATATAGGAAAAACACATAAAAAGAGGAAGGTTTATTTATTATCTCCAAACTAAAACAATAGCTTAATTTTTTATTTTCGATTGTACAGAAATGATCAAGAAGAACATACATTTAGTTGCGTTTGCAGTGTTTTTGATTATTAGCTGTTCATAAATGCATGAAAAGCAAAATGAAAACTTTAAAATAATTCAGAGTGAATTACTTGCAATTGCGTATTCCATAGCCTACACTATATTTTCCTTGTTGTTAGCGTTTCCTTTGTGAGTATTAAGTTAGTATGTAGAATTTTATCATACATTTTTGATTATATAATATATATAATCCCGGTTGCGTGTGAAACAATTTCCATTAGGAAGTTTTCGTCAAACGGATGGAATTTATTTGTCTGGTTCCTACGGTATTTCCTTGTATGCGCTTTACATAAATGTGGTTTTCGATTGTAGTACAGATTTCAAAATTCATATCTTCAATTTCGTCTTCAACAGTTTCATATTATGCCGTTTTACCAAGTTGCATTGAATTAGCTAGATGAATGACAATACACAATGTAGGCTACTAGAGGAAAAAACGTAAAGCTTACGTATTTTCATGTACTATGCTTGGGTAATTTTTGCTATTGCGTACAATAATTTATATAATTTGTATTTGTATTACCCCTTGGACTTGAATTATCTTTTCTGTGTTTGCTGGCAAATGCATTTCTCAACGAGGTCAGCGCCTGTGACCCAGCTTGAGACATGGGGGATTGTTTTGATTGGTCTGTTCTCTTGTCTATCACTCAGCCTTTTAAGACAAACAAATATACTTTCATGACAGAATATGAACATATAGACTTTGAGGTTTTAGATCTCATCCACACTTTTCTTATTCAGTACGTAGCATGATTTGTTGTGCACACCAATATTTTTAACGTTTTATTGTGTGTTTTATTATTAAATGCACAAGTTAACAATTTCAATGTGAAATGCACACTATTCAAAGGGATTACTTTAAAAAAAATATGTGTTTATCAAAGTGTGTGTGTGTGTGTGTGTGTGTGTGTCTACACACACACACACACACATATATAGGGTAATTGTATTCTTATGCATATTACACAACAATATA